AGGGGGTTATACAACAAAAATACAAGAGCTTACGATCGTTGGCTCAACAGACAAACACCAAATACGTGGAGTGGTTCAGCGATCGGTGGCCTAAATGTACGAATATTATTGCCTCCGACTTCTTCTTAAGCTCAAATGTTGTCGACATTGCCTTAAGTGTTAACCACAGGAATAATGTTCAACAGAAACCCTTTAAACGATTTCATAAGTTTTATTAAACATTTCATATATTTTTTTGATACTCATATGAAATGAAGACAATCTAATGACAATTTGGTGTATTTTTCAAATATTTGTTAATTTAATTAATTAACGTAAATTTAATATCAAATAAAATCTAAAAAGTATATAAAATATGAATTATAAGTTTTTGAAATTATGGTAAATTAAAATATTTATTAAAAGTGCTTACAAGTTGTTAGGAATTAATTGTAAAATTAATGTAAAAATAATATAAAATTAATTGTAAAATTTTAACAAATATTTTTGTTAATTAAAACATTTAACAACTTTTATGAGTTAAATGCAAAAATAAAGCATATAATATATTCCGGGAATACATACTGTACTGTCACACGCGTCAAAGCAATAGAAGAGTGTACAGTGTGTACGTTAAAAGTAGTCTTATATGTTAAACGCTCGACAATATAACAAGTGTGAGAGGTTTGTATGGCATTAAATATAGGTAATAGTAGTGCGAGTACTCATAGCCTCCGTGGCGCAATTGGCTAGCGCGTTCGGCTGTTAACCGAAAGGTTGGTGGTTCGAGCCCACCTGGGGGCGAATTTTTTTTAACTTTTTTTGTTTACCTCGTTTAAACTTGTAGTTGAGTTTATTATATATTTATTTTAACTATATTTTTGGATATAGAATGTATGTTAATAATGATAATTTATGGTAAAATGTTTAAATATGATTGAATTACATATGGATTTTTTAAGGCATATCAAAAATATTTTAACTAGAGGTATTGTTTAGTTGGTAATTATTTTATAATGAGTAAATTAATGATGATTAATTGAATTGGTATTAATTTATATTATTATAATTATTATAAATTATATGCTTATTACGAGTGAAGTGTCTAACCATTGATTACTAATCAATAAAAGTAGAAATTATTGAGTTTATAATTATTGTTATAATGTGTACACTATTGAGGAACTATTAAACCGCACCAATAAGTCATTTATATTTAAAAACTTATTATATAAATTGATTAAAATATTAATATAAAAATTAATTAATGGAAAATATGTAAAAATATGAAGTTTAAAAATTATGATTATAGTTATATAATTAATTAGATTTTAAGTAATTAAATTAGTAAAATTTAGATATCAAAAATATAATAAAGTAATAATAAAATGGTAAAATAATATATAGTTAAATTTCCAATTGTGTGATCTGGTTGATTTACGTGAATTATTTATTTGTACCCATAGTGACCATGGTCTGTATATGGCCCGTGATCATCATCATAAGTGCTGCAGCAAATAAGATGTACTGTACATTATTAAATAGAATTTATAATTATAATTAGTGTTAAAAATTACGTAAATTACAATTTTACTAATTATAAGTAATTAATACATGGAAATTGTAAACATATAAAATTAATAAAAACTAACATGTTAAATAGATATTTAATGATAATTAGAGTTTTGGTCACTCACTATAGGGGCTGATGTTGATGGAAGAGCTCTTCTCCGCCTCCCTTATGGTGTCCACTGAGAAGAGCGCCGAGAAGTAAACCTTTGATGAATTTCTTGGTCGAAGTGCACTCATTGCCCGCAATCAACGCTAGAAACACAACGACAACCAAAACACAAACCAAATTCTTTGACATCTTTTTTGGTTACAGATTTTGCTGATAATCCACAACAAGTGCTAAACAATAGTAACAAATGTAAGAACAGTTGTGAACTGATTGTGAGGTTTCGTATTAAAGACAACTAACGAATCGGAGACACGATTTTATATAATCTTAATTCAAAAGTTAATTATAAGTTTCTATTGAACTTATATTTCAATTGAAGCGAAAGTCATAAAAATCCAATATTTTTGTTTTAAAATCAAAGTAATATTTAAAATCAATGCAAACCATCGCTGACTATAATAAATAAAAATAATGGACTATTATTTCGTGGTTTAATTAGTGGTTACATTGAAAATGAATTGCATATTAAAGATTCAAAACTATTAATTAGTGTCTCTAATCAACTCTAAACCAAATAAATTACTTTTTACCACACATTGTAAGCACTGTTAATGAATTGTCTGTGAATTATACCTATTATCAGAACCGGTAGTAATAAAAAGGTAATCAAATTGAGAACATTTGATAATTCAATCATTTTAATAATCAATAAAAAATTTAAGTACATTAAAATGTCAATAATCGCTAATTAATGAGTTAAACGTATTCATTAAATGTTAATTCATTATTTTTAAAAAGCATATAAAATATTGTCGTTTAAAAGTCCAATAAAAATCACAAAATTGCAATCAATTACATAATTATAACAAAATATCGTCACAAATAAAAAACCTTTTTTTCATAAAAAATACTAAAACAAATGTTTCTGTAAATCGAGACAAACGTATAAATCAAATAAATTGAGATTTAGATCCCATTGATAACAAAATTGCACGTCTAATAGACTATACTTATGTATAATAGTTAATAATTTTAACATTTCTTTCGATGTTAGACGACATGACATTATATTTAACGCCATTTATCTGTCGTTTCTTTGACACAAATTCAAAGAAGTCTTGATTGACTCTCAGTTTGAATTGACGTTTCGGGTGTTTCTTCGCGAACGCATTCAACGGGTTTAACAGGTTTTCGGTAAAACTCTTGGAATCGTATGGAAGCCATTGAAAGTCCAGCTCTTCTATGGCGGGAAACGAGCGCTCATTCAATGTCCAGACGTAAGACTTGGAAAATCCCGTGTCTTTTCGGGGCAACAAATTGACCGACAGTTGTTTCAAATGAGTTAATTTGGATAAATATTTCCAGACTCTCTCTTTGCAATCGTTACAGTCCTGTCGGTCGCGGAAGTCGTCGCTCCGGTCGTCGCAAAGCAGAGAACAGTTCTGGAGAACCAATTGACGAATATTAGGGAAATAGTGAGTGAACTCTTCGAAGAGTTTGGGCGTAAATGAAATGCCGGTTAAGTTGAGTGAATGGAGATTCGGGAACACAGTTTTGGCCAAATAGTTAATGACTCCCCGATTCTGGTAGAACTCGATCTTCAAGCGCTCCAAATGAGGCATTTGTGACAATTGGGACAACGAATCCATATTAAGCCACGAACTGAAGAAAAACATATTCAATGATTTCAATTCGTGAAATGTATTGCATATGAGATCAAGTGTTTCGATGTCATAGCCCTCCACTTCTAGCGTTTCCAAGTTTACCGCATTTTGTCTTAAAATATTAAACGTGTTTTGACTGACTCTGTATTTGTAACACTTGTTAAGCTTTAAAGTCTTCAGATTTGGACCAAAATAAGTGAATATCTTATCGATTGGCATATCGTTGACATCGAAACTAAACTCTTCGAGTTTTGTAAAGTTCTGAACCAAATAAATGAGACTAAATTCAGACAATTTCTCCGGATTTGTCACCGAATTGATTGACAAATGGATCAAATTATCGGACAATATTTCTCCGATTTGTATCCATTGTCGTGATGTGAGTCGAGTATTGAGAACAGAGTTATTAATTTGCAAACACTCCAAGTATTTGCACTGTTTTCTGATCCAAGCAATTACTTTCAGATCGATTTCAGCGCTCATTTCAATGCATCTAATGTTTGGACAAAATTTAAAAAACATTCTCAAAGTATTCTTGTTTTTGTCGTTCAATTCAAACAATTCATTGTTTTGTTGACCACTTGTGGCCAAAGAGAGCGCCGAATGCCTTAAATCGCAACAATTGCCGACATTTCGGCCAATTTTAAGCCCTTTAGTCGATTCGAGACTCTTGTCGACCAACCCTTTCAATCGGTTGTTTAGTCTGAATCGGAACTTCTCTTTGAGTGACAACTTCTCAATTATATCATACAAACAGTAATCGTTTAACTCTTCAATCGTTTTATTGCTTTTGGCATTTTTGCTAAATTTCGGGGCCATTCTTGGATCAGATCTTCAGTTTCAACGAAATCAATACACCGCCGATGAAAGACAAATCAAATGTCTTATAATCTGCAAAACAATAATAATAATAATTTAATTATTAATTTAAGTTAAGAGGGTTTAAACAGTTTGTGACATACATTTGAGGCATTAATCAACTTTTGATACACTTTTCAATTGAGTGAACACTCAATCAAATTAAACTAAACATTACTTTTTAATAAATACTGTATTATTTATACTAACAGTACTATTATTAATAAAAACCAAAACTTTTAATTGTAATTAAATGAGTTTTATAAAAGTTTTCAAATAATTAAAACTATTAATTTTGGTGTAAAACTATTTACCAAAACTGTTTTCACTGAAACTGACGCTAAGATCAGCTGATTATCACTGAAAGTGATAACAAATAAGCGATAATTAAAACCACATTTCGATGTCTTATCGGATAATCAAAAGCGGATTTAAATCATGATTAAAATGATAGACACGTGAGAGTCATGTGATTGTGATAATCATTTTGATGCCTATTTTGGTCAACAATTTTGAATACAAAACAAAAAAACTCATTCAAAGCCCACTTTAATAACCACTAAAACTAAACCATATTTTCTAAACAAAACAGACATTAATTTTAACAACAATTTTAGCAATAATTTTGACGCAAAAATCACATTAAAATCGCAAAATAAATGCCAAAACTTACGCAACAATTGGTCCTTAAATAGCATTGAAATGAATGGCAAAACAAAATAACTGTTTATTATTAGGTCTGGTATTCATCACAACAAATATGAACACTTTTAACGTATAAACTAAACTATATTTTCGTCCAAATGTATAAATAGTTAACAATTATATCAATAAAATGTCATTATTTTCATATAAATACGATTTGTGTATAAAATATATATAAAAACAATTAAAACAAGGATTTAATGATTGAAAAGTGTTTCGCAATCTTTTGACAACACTTTATTAATAGTGAATACATTGAATACGCGATCGTATGATAGAGTATGGCATCGACTCAACCGATGGCACCACTCATGGCATCACATATTCAACACTTTGAATGCAATATCCATTGAAAAGTTTTCAAAACTTACAAGAATTCATTAAATTAAAAATTCTTTATATGTATTTATTAATTAAAATTACGTTATATTACATGAATTCACATCAATTAACAAAATGAGCACACATTTGTTCCCCGTTTTCACTATTGCATCGATTGAATGATATGTTTTGGCAAAATTGTGGACTACTTTTTGGACCCATATTGGGTTCGCATAACATTTTATTCTACACTAATTGTGTTTAGTTTTAACCAAATCGTATCTTTAACTTACAAATATGTTATTTCATTGAAAAATCAATGTTAGAGAGAGAAAGAGAGAGAGAGAGAGAGAGAGAGAATTCATAATGTTTATTTCCAAAGTCCCAAAGAATTTGTTCCAAACGATGAATGCAATGACAAAATGTAATTATAAAATAGATTGCATTAAACAGTTCTATACTGTATTTTCCAAACAAGACTACCATGGTCATTTGAAAGACATTTATGTAATGAATATAGCCTACTATTGTACAGTATTTGAGGTATCGTTGAAATTACCATTATATTCATACCTTTTCTTATGTCCAGCATTTTCGGTTTCAACGTGTTATTAGCCGTAGAATTCATATTACTTTTGATATTTAAATTACAATTGAAAACACATTTTACAACATTTATAACAGAAATTAAATATACTTTTAATAATAATTATTTAATTAGCCAAGGTGAATTCGTAAGGTTACCAATCATGTTCATAATACACGCATCAGACGTATCCATAATTCGCAATAATTAATATTATTTCATAGAATAAATGATTATTTTAATATTTTACATCTTTCTAGATTTTTCTTATAACACATTTCAATGTATTTTTTAAGTGTTGAGTACTTAACTTAAGGCTACAAACCATTGTATATCGTTTTGTATGTATTTGTGAAGTGGGTTCGGGTCGGGGGTCAAGCATAGGGTCCCTACACTTCACTCATACAATACCCTATTGTTAAGGATTAATATTTATTTTTAGCAAATCTCATGTCAACTATACGTTACAAATGGCATACATTTGATGATACCATTAATGTAATGAATATATTTTTTACAGAATATTCTGATTGTAAATAATGTGTTAATTTAGATGAATGTAAATTTACGTAAACTAATTAATAATAATCACTGCTTTTCGTTCAATTAAATTAATACAAAAGTGTTTTGCAAACATAAATCACTCGACAATACAGACAAAAAAGTCACTAATTTTAAAGAGTATGAGATTATTATATTAGAGATGAGGGAAAACATATCACTTGAAACATGTTTTCCTCTTTTCCTAACATAATGTTGTAATAATTGGTCGCAAAATAATAAATATCTAGTGAGTCATTGCACGGCTTACGCCATAGACTACTGTAGACACCGATAGACAACTGGCCATCACTTATAACTTTTTGGGGAAAACAATTAACACATTCCCTAATATTTTAAATCAGAAACTAATTTAATGTTTTAGTGATAAGTATATTTATAACAAATACTTACATGTATCACTTTAAATGTTTGAATTAAAAATTGTAATTATCAATATTGGCATTAAAAAAGTTTATGGCAATTAAAGTACATTGAATTTAATCTCAAATTAGACTTTGATATATAATAGTCATTTGAATAGTATTTTTTATGTAGAAATAAGTTTATAAAAACTAATTGAATAAAGAGTTGGAGAGAGTATTATATCTGATAAAAAAGTATTGGTTTGATATTTAGTGAATAGAAAGAGAGGAAAGTGAGTGTATATGTGTGCCATCGAGTGGATAGAGTGGTGAGCCCTTCAGCCCCTGCGAGCCCTCCCGCGAAAGCCCTCTGCCGTTATGAGTGTGTGAGCGAAGTGTATGAGAGTGTATGAAATGTATGGCAAAGCACTCGTTTGGTCGATAGGGAGGGTTCTGTTGGATCGGCAGAGCAGTGGACGGCGTTATGTGTATGCCTTTGTATGCATGAGTTTGTATGGTATGAATCGGGCGATGAATTGTTTGCATCACATCATCGGTTTCAGAAATGGGAGATCAGAGCACATCTCATATCCCCTCTCAACGAGAGGCGGAATAACTGAAGGCCTGCTTAGCGGGAGTTCACTACTAAACAGGGCTACTGCTGGAGAGCCCCTGAAATGTGCACTCATTTATCATAGGCTTCCCCATCGATGACTGTGTCGATCCAATCCCTTTCCTCCATTACCATAGTATCACTACTCAAATGACCAATCTTTGAGGCACAGAGAGTCAGACCAGACATTACCAAAACGCTACCAGTATTTGAAACACCATTTCACTCGCCATTCATTCACTACTGAATTGTCCCGAAGGGAGACACCAATAGAGCCACCGATAGCTGAATAGACCCAACAAAACAATCGTATAAAAGTATATTTAGTCGTAACACAACTCCAATAATAATCATCTTTCAAATACAAACTTTTACAACAACTCAACACTCAGTGCTCTTGTGTTCAGTTTGGAGTTGGCGTTCACTTCCATCACATATATAGTGTTCACCAAAAATATATTCTCATTCCTACCGTTCCTATCCATACCCAACCACTCCATTGCTTTGCAACTAATTTTTAATTGCTTTCGATATCAATGGCTTTTAAAGAAGTTCGCCGACGAAGCAATTTGTTCCGTCCCTGGGATTCAGCTCTCTCTTCGGCGATCCACTGCACACAACTGTCCAACGCTTCCGACTCGCAGTCGTTCAGCAAGTCTTCAAAGTCAGAGTCGAGAACCAAACGAAACACTTTTGTGGACGACTTGAATAAAACGTTATCTCATATCAACTATTCGCCAATTAAAGCCATGTCTCCGAGTGATCACGCCTTACGACCGACAGTCTGTCCAACAATACCCACAATACCAACTCATTGGCCACAAAACGTGCATTTGGCTGGCGGTCACTTATCGATGGTTCCGCGACACGGCTATACACCATATCCTCAGCACTCGTCTCTACCATTTGCAGAGCATATGTATTGCGATCAGTCTTTTGTGAATCCGATGCCGTTTGGAGACCAAAGTCTAACCAATTCATCGAATCTAACCAAACATTGGAGACAATTGCAGAACCAAAAGAAACAAAGACCCAAACGATTCCAATGCCCGCACTGTAGGGTCTCCTTCTCTAACAACGGACAACTCAAAGGACACATCAGAATACATACGGGTATTGAATTGCATCCGTTATTCAAATCATGTTATGAATTCTTATCAATTTTTTGCATTTAATTGATTTTCTGTTTACAAAACAAATTAAATGTAATATAATTCTTGAATAACATTTGCGAGTATAGAATGTAATTTTGATGAGTTTATAGATAGACGTCTAGATAAATGATTTTATAACAAAATTTGTTTTATTTGTTTAGTGATGAAAAAAGTAATGTTTTACAGAATATAGAATTGCATGAAATTTAATATGTGTTAATCAATGAATGAAATTAACAAATTGTTTATACAAAATAAGGTGAGCGTCCGTTTGCTTGCGATCATCCGAATTGTGGCAAAACATTCACACGTAATGAAGAGCTCACTCGCCATAAGCGCATTCACACGGGTTTGAGGCCATTCTCGTGCTCTGTTTGTGGCAAAAGATTTGGCCGAAAAGATCACCTCAAGAAACACGTTAAGACTCATCAAAGGTCTGCAGCGGTTCCCATTCATATACCACTTCCAGCGTCGATGCCTTTCCACTTCTTCAACGCAGTCAATGGTTGGGTCTCTCATATGTGATAACTATTGTCTTTGATATTTGTAAATATTTGTTAATTCAATACAAATAAGATACTAAACAACATTTAAAAATCAACTATTTATTTGTAAGACAATTGATATTTAACTTAAGAAACAGAAATATATAAATATTTTAGTTTTTATGTTTCAGTTTTATAATAAATATTTCTCCTATAATTCATATTTACTTTTAATTCAACAAATATTAAATGTAAAATAAACTTGTTTTGTAATAAATAACTGAATATTGTAATTATTTTTAATAAATTAAACGTAAAACCAATTTTAATTTTATCATATATTGAAATGTTGAATGAATTTATTAAGGGATAAGTGTGTCGAAGACTATATGTACTGTCAGTCAAATTGTGTGATTGACTAAAACATACATTTGATGGGATTTATGTCTTTGTGGGACACTATCGGCGGTGATGTCGGCCTTCATTCACAAGACTATCGAACCGAAAACAATTGATTCCGTGTTAACAACAGTTACTTCATAGCAACTACTGGTCCGACACCAGACTCTGCTCTCGCCAGCCCTGCATCTAATATAGGGAACACCAGTCACCCTATGATATGCGGCATATCATATGCCAAATACATTACTGCCTCTCAATTCATAATACTCTCCCATCATATTATAGGACAAAACTTATACACATTTGTGACACAATGGATGTTGTGTTTGATTCTCAATGCAAATATTGTGAACACATATAAAACTTAACATTTTAAATAAAGTTTTTAATATAATTTTTTAAATGCTTATTAAAATACAGTATTTTTAATTTGAAATTTTACATTAAATTTAATATAGAATTATATCAAATAAGCTTAATGAAAGTTTGAGAAACCGAATAATCTATTTTGCAAATTATATCTATGTTAATTGATGGTTGCATTTGTTGAGCCGGCAATATAATCAAACAAGTTTAGTACTCTAATTATTATATTAATAGAGAATGGAGTAATTTGTCATTTATGTAATTTTTTAAAAATAGAAACAGATTTTAAAGCATTATTCATAGCTTATAATGAAAAAAGTTGTGATTTGAATGCCTTTAATGCCACTCCAGGCGACCATTAGAGTGATTGAGTTTGTTATCCCTGTTTGAAATGC